AATCCTGACCAATACCTTTGCAAGCGTGTTCCCATCCTTGCAGAAGGCACTACTGCACCTTCTGTTGCTGCACAATTTGCCATTTAAAGATAATTTTCACAAGCTTTCCTAGATTAAGTCAATAGGTATAAAAGAATTGTGTACCTGCTGAATTTCCTTGTGTGTTGGTATAGGTGCATCAACGTAACCTTGCTGCTTGAACCAAGAACAGATGGTCTGCAAAGACCGATAAGCGCAGCCCCAGCCGCTGTCATCAATCCGATCTTGCATATAGTGATGGTAACTGTATGTGCCATGCACCAAATAAACCTGCACACAGACAGATAATACAAATCAATCTGATCGCTGTAGGATCAGTTTTCAGAGGAAGCTGTACTGCTGTCACCTGGACTGTACTTTTAGTTAGGGAGTTATGAGTCCTTAGAAGAACTGAAGGTTTCTTATTTGCCCGTGAACATTCTTCTTTTGCCTATTAAACATCTCTATTCATAGCTTTATTTTCTTGTTTTGGTTCTGAGAACCTTCTAAAATATGTACTACACATGTGAAGTACCCTCTGAAAAGGTGTACATTATTTTATAAGACAGTGCAATTTGGGCAGGTGGGAGAATGGAGGAATGTGACATGCTAAAACAACTCCATTTTGTGCAGAGAAACTATTTTGCTTAGGAGACCCAGTCAAATGATATACAGGTGAGAAAGAAAAGGTATAGAAACAAGTTACTTCTTTTGATGACAAATTTCTAAGGAAATAAAACATTTTTAAGAAGTTGATTTAAACTTACCACACCAGACTCAGGACCAGGTGAATTAAGATGTAAATGTGGATTTCTGAGATAGCCATCTTTATATGGTTCATCTGGAAAATGGTAAGCGTTTGCTCTCTTGAAATACGGTCTGTCACATGGCAGGTTGAACAACTCATGCAATTCCTACATGCCAGTTAGAACAAGAAGTGAAGAGCACAACTGAAACTTGGGATTAAAAGAAACATCACATTGGTTTTGTCTCTATTATTAATTGTGATCTTAACAAAATAGCTTAGCGAATGTAATTAGGTTGATATTCAGCATATATGCTTAGTGCTAGACCTTGCCTCTAACGAAGCTGAGGGAGACTCACCTTCCATGTGGAGAGCCTGTCATTTCACATGGTCTTGCTACACAATGCTTGCCTCTGCAGACCCATTCAAGACATCCCAAGTAACAAATAACTTATTCAAGTATGATAAAATACACCCTGACATGAACAAATTATGTATTTTTCTCTGTAGCAGTAAGATGTGCACAGTGAATTATAAGTCTTAACTAATATTGAAGACCCAAATATTGAGAGAATGAAAAAACCCCACAGCTTCTACACATCTGAACAGGGAGATGAGAGGATTGTTTTCAAATTCTAGCTAGGGTTGCTCAACTGTAAGCAACAACACCCCTTGAACAAAAAAAAAACAACCAGGAAAAAAACACCCCCATTCTTTCAGGCAACTTGCTACATCTTGGAAGTAGTAACCACGATCAAAGTAATCTGGAAGTAGGGAACTCAGAGAATCAGAAATATGATACAGATTGGTTTAATCTAAAATAAATCCTATATAGTTATGTTTCATCACAAAAATGGGATTTGATACATTTTATGAAATTTTTAATAGATCAATTTTACACTACATGTATAATTAAAAAATCAGGATCTGTTAGTGTTACTTCTACACTGGCTAAATGAAAAGCTTTACCCTTGCATCAATGATAATAACAGTAAAAATAAAAATTAGGTTATCTTTGTATTTGTTGTATATTGGCTACATGAAAACACTTTACCTTTCTATAACTTTCCAGTTGATCATCTGAAATACCTGTAGGGTAGGAAATTGTTACAAGGTGATTTTTTCCTGGTAACATGAAATGAAACTGCTCTGGTACCACAATTGATGTTCCCTTCATGTATTTCATGATGCAGCTTTCCATATCAGTTAATTGCTTGTGAATTGCTTTCACCAGGAGATTTTGTACCCTGTGAATTGTAAGGGACAACACTTAACTAGCAGAACAATGATAGTGTCAAACAGAAACAAATCCTATGGGAAAAACAGAAAAAGAATACAAAGACTTTGCATCTCCCACCTTCAACTACCCCTTAGCATAATTCTGAGAATACAGTCATCAGATGTACTCATTTTTATACACAGTGACTTGTAAGAATGACAAGAATCTTTACAGTATTTTTTCAGTTCCTTGCTCAGCAATGGCTCTGTGTTGTCCCATCTATCAGACAGTGATGAACTGATTTTTTTTTTTTTTGTAGGTAGCAAAAGAATTGTGGCTCATGAGGATCAAGACTAAGAAGTGTCTACAGGAGTTACTATTGCTTACAGTCAAATTTCAGCCTATGAATACTACATACTCTTTTATTAAATTGATACATGATAATGATAGCTATCCTTTACAAGAAAAACAAAGTGGAAAATAAATAGAAAAAAATTACAAGTTCAGGATAATACTTACTTTCCCCACGTTTCTTCTGGAGAAACAGAAACAACAACATCAACTGGCAATGTCATATTAATGTAGTGGTGCTCCTTATTTTCTCTTTCGATGACTGGAGCCAAAGCATCTAATGAAGATGTCATCTCTAACATGAGGTCAATATTGATTACCTGCTGCTGCACAGAAGAAAGACACCAGCAGTGTATCTCCAGCAATACATTCTCCAAGAGGGCAAAAGGAAAACTGTACAAAGTTTGAGATGAAGTTCAGTAATGAAATAACTGGGTTAAAGACTGAAACTTCTATGTATAGATCTGCTGAGCCTTAACGACTTTAAAAGATTTTTTCTAAGTCCTTTTCCACAGATAAGGCTAGGGAGGGCAGATTAACAACTTTTAAGTGATGGGTCTTCAGATAGAAATTATGAGTGTGGTGAGACACGTACCATGTCTTGTAGCTTTTTATCCTTTTTCTTGCCAAGCTTTCGTCGGGTCTCATCATCTTGATCAAAGCTGAAGTATCAACAGAAAATTGCATATTCTAGAAATTGCTCTAATCCTTCACAACTTTTTTTTTTTTTTTTTTAATATACTTACTGTATAAATCGTTTTATCTCCTTGCAAGCAGAATCATCAGTCAGCTCTGGAATAGTGTTGATACCATTGTTGGGCCACACATAGACTGAACTGTGGCAAACTCTTAATACAAGAACATCTGAGGACAGCTTATTTGCAAGATCACTGAAAACGTATTTCAATGCACTTTTTGCTGATGCTTCTGAAACACAGTAAGTATAAAATTAAATTCATTTCTGTGATGGCTGCTGGACTAACATTTCTTTAATTGACGTTTTCATAATGAACATAAGTGCAAGTGCTATTATAATCAGAAAAATGACTATGAGAACAAAAAGTAAGATAATATTTCACTTGGCAGGTCTGCCTCAACAAAGGCATACTGTTTTTCTTGGCTTCCAAATAACAACCTACACTGTCATTTATTCTTCCATCAAACCTCTGTAAGCTTCTGTGGATAGAAAAGCTGCTGTATATGCATGTATCTGATCTTTTCAGTAAATCCTGGAAAGATTGAATCAGATCTGCATATCACTGACTTCAGATCATTTTCCAAACAACTGCCCTAAAACATACTAAGTTTTTGGAAAAAGAGAGAGTACAGTTCATCTGCAGACCAAATTTTGGAAAAGACAGATGCGTAACCAAACCAGCCACACTTAGGCAAGCCTAAATCTTAATTACTGGTACAGACTTCTGTCTTTTAGATCTTAATTTGGCTTACTAGCAGTTTCACACATTCCTTACAACCTGAACCAATGCTGCATATGACAAAGCAACTTCTGCATATTAGCAGTATTGTCTTCATTACTTACATGATCAACATGTACCTAGAATATAGTAAGGAATTAAAAAAAATATCTCACAGAATCATTAAGGCTGGAAAGGACCACTGCAATTATTTAGTCTAGCCATCAAATGAGAGCCTAGCTGAGGATGGCTTTGATCCGTTGACCTTTGGGTTATGGGCCCAGCAAGCTTTTACTGGATGCAATGCCCAGTTGTATTTCTTCAACTCATTAACTTAGATTTGGCCACTATTGACTTCTACACTCAGAGCCCTTAAAAACTAAATTATTAGGAAAAAAACAAACAAAACTTGTCCCTAGAGATAGCCAAGGTTGGGCAGGAGGAGCTGTGAGCACCTGGTGGAGCTGTAGGTGTACTTGCTCAGTGCAGGGAGTGGGACCACGTGGCCTTCAGGGGTCCCTTCAACTCAAATGATTCTATAACCTAGCAAAATGCCAAGAAAACAATTTTGTAAAAGAATCAACGATAGCTTTACAGACTCACCATCAGTAGTTGCTAGCTGAAACGCCAAATCCAAGCCACCTCTTATTCTGAAGAGTATGTCCATGGCTTCCAGAGTTACCTAGGGACAAAAAAGAAGTCATTAAGTTATTTCAACATGCTTTCTCTCAGGCTACACTTGACTTCCAACGCCACGGTGTGGAGGCAAGGCCAGTGAATAAGCAGGGAGCCGAAAGGCACACTGGCACGTACCTCCCAGAGCCATCCTCCGTTGCACGAGTGCTGTTACAAGCCGCCCACCAGAGCCGCGGGGTGAATGGCCCTTCCTCGCAGCCACGCCGGCTGCGCGCGTAAGAAAAACGGCAAAGGGGCTCGGCGGGCAACCCTCGCCATGCCGCTAACCGGGCAGATAGGGAGCCCTCCAGCCCGGCCCTCTCTCCCCCCGCCATGAGGTGGCGCTGTGGCAGTTGCCCACCCGCGGGGACCCCCTGGGGGAGGCGGGCTTACCACGTCCGTCAGCGCCGCAGCGGGGGCCGAGCCCGGCCGCATCGTCTTTGCGCAGGCGCATTCCGCCCCGCAGGGAGGAGGCGTGCAGGGCGGCCGCTGCTGCGGGCCGTACCAATGCAGGGCGCGGGGCGGAGGTGGGCTGCCGCGCGCCTGTGGGCGTCAGGAGCCGCGCGCCGAGCCCGCCTTTTCCCGAGGGCGCGAGGCACGAGGTTGTGGTAGCGGGCTTGCGCGCCGTGCGGCAAAGAGGGCTTAAAGCCTTATTGAATTAAAATTTGATTGCAGTCCGTTCTGCACGTCCAGCGTAAGCAAAGTGCGCCCAGTGCTGCCACCACGTTTCAGCACGGAGGCTGTATAAAGCGCTGTGCTATTGCACGTGCTTCCAGTGCCGCCTGGTGGCTGTGGCGCTCCGGTGCAGGTGCAGCTCCGGCGGGGCGTTATTCATCTGTGCTTTCTGCTGCGCGAGTTGCGGCCGAGCCCATCTCTCGGACCCTCCTGTGCCCACACAGTTATTTACAAAGGGACTCGTCTGACCTCCTCGCCCTCCTTCCAGCTCTGCTCAGGTACTTCAGCTGTTTGTTTAACACCACCTACGTATCCTCAATTTTTTCCAGCAGTTGGTACATTTTGTGACGTTGGTAAGCAGCTTTCCTAACCGACGAAGCAGTTTCTTCAGTGTCAGCTGTGCTGGCTCCCTCTCCGAGGCAGCTGTGTGCCCAGCTGATTCTGACCCCATGTCTGCTGCTTTTGGCCCAGGCTATCCGCCCTGTTCGCATCCCTTCGTTCCTTGGACTTCTCGCCCAGGCATTGCCCTGCCTTCTGTCGAGCTTCAGTCAGGGTGATGGCAAATATGCACTATGAGCAGGTCTTGGGTTGTGGTTGGAGGGCTTCTTAAATTCACAGAATGACAGTCATAGGGGTTAGAAGGGACATAGGGAAGTCACTGAGTGCAGCCCCATGCTAAGGCAGGCTCCCTGCAATAGATGTATTGCACAGGTAGGCATCGGATGGGTCTTGAATATCTCCAGAGAAGGAGACTCCACAGCCCCTCTGGGCAGCCCCTCCATCACCCTTATCGTAAAGTAGTTCTTCAATTCCATTTCTGCATTTTATCCCAAATTTGTCCACTCAGCGTCCTATACCGTTAACTGAAAGTGACTAAAATCATTGGTGGAAGTAATCCCCGAGATGAAGGAGACTTGCTTTTTAGTGAAAATTGACCACTGTTATGGTACTAGGGGGTATAATGTTACAGAAAGAGCCAGTGATGTATTCAATACAATCAAGCATATTGGTAACAATGTCCTAGCCCTGCTGCACATAACAAAGTCCACACCTGCACTGGATGTGGAGGAGTACTGGTGAACTCATTGTCACAGAACAATTCTACTTTTTTTTTGAGCATAGAATAGGTCACTGTAGGGAGTTACTGAGTTACTTTTTCTGTCATATTTTTAAGATCTGTTCCTCAAAATCCAGACTTAAAAAAAAGATATTAAGCAATGAGTTCATTAATTACTTAACATTTTCCTTAAAGTTTCAAATGCAAGTTTAAGCAACAGTATTTTATTTAGTAGTCTGCTATTCAGTGCTTTTATATACTTTCTCATGAAAAATATTGTAATGAAATCAATTATATTGTAGATTGGCACTTTTGTTTTTCCTTTCAGTTGAGAGCATGAAAGGAGACACATTTGGTCCTTATCTAAGCCATTCTGCTGACCATTACGTAATTAAGAAAACTGAGGCTGTCCCATCCAGTAAAGAAGAAAATTCTCCATCCTCCTCCTGGACCAAAAAGCAGACCTGTTACAAGTGTAACGACTTTAAATGTCACAAGGTAAGGCGCTTTAATTTAAGTTCATATTTCATGTGTGCAGTTTACCAAAATTCATTAGGACAGCTGTTTACTTTCTAAATTAATTGAATAATTGAAGGAATTAATTATTGACAAAAAGATAAGAAACGTGTGAGGAGCCTTGCTTTCAACATTTATTCCTAAACTTTTGTAAGTGTGAGTCACTGAGAAAGTATTCTAGAGACCTTCAAATCAGGCAGTACAGTTACAATTGAAAAATATTTTAAAATATCTTTTCTGACTTAATAAATGTAAAAAAGAAAGAAGAAAAAAAAAAAAAAGACTGAGAATGCTTCTGTTAAAAAACAGAATTTAGTTTTTGTTTTCATTTATGTTAATGGAATAAAATTGGCTCCTTCTACTGGCAAATGTAATACCAGTTATCTCAGCCTGTGAAGTTTTTGAAACAATGGCATTCACGTTAGATCATGACTAACAGTCATGTGGTTGTGTAATGTTAGAAGAGATTTATAATACAGTGGATTTATATAGGTATACAAGGACACTTTTTGCCTTTTAAAATCATACTAAGTCATAACCTTTATTTTAAAATATTTTTCTGTACTTGGCTTTATTGTAATTCATGCTGGTAGTCAGGACTGTGTTCTTTAGAATTATTTAAAGAAATCAAATTTAAATGGGATTTCTAAGACTGCATGTAGAACAGGTAAGCATAGATGTACAAATAGATGTGCATTTGTTTGTGTACTCCACAAGAAAGATACATGACATATTTTAGAAATATTTGATTAAAAATTGGAAAACAGTCTTAGAAGAATGTCACAGAATTATCTCTATATCTGTGTCCACGACACAGAGGATATTTCACATTTGCGATTTGTGTTTTATCTATCTAGTGAGGTTTAAGAAATACACCTTTTATCCACCTGTGGCTGTGGCTGGATGTGGGCCCTTGGAACGATGCATTTGTTGCACAGAATTCTTCCCAGTATAAAAATGAGGACATTATACACATTCATTAATCTGAAGATATTATACATAATAGCAATCTAGCTGAGTTTCATGTATATCTGTACAGATGAAAACTATATTACAGCTGGACTAACACCAGACATATTAAAGCCACTTTTCCTTCTTGGAAGGCCCAACAGAGTTGCATATTCAAAGCCTAGGGCTCATGAGAGCCATATCCAGAAGACTCAGATTACCAGAAAAACAAACAGCAGTTTAATAACATGAAGTTTGTTTCCTTCCAAAGAGGATCTCACAGATATAAAAGTTTATTTGTAAATGTGAGTAAGAAAATAATTTTAATTCCAGATGTCTTGTACTGAAGTATATTGGGAAAGGCCATTCATTAATCAGTCTTAAATTTTGGCTATTGTTGCAAATACAAAATCATCTGTAATATAATTATATATAGTAGGACAGACAAATCCAGAGTCTTATACCTGGAGAGCAATAACCACATGTCAGCACAGGTTAGGGACTTAACCTGCTGGAGAGGAGCTCTTAAGAGAAGGACCTGGGTGTCTTGGTGGACAGCAGGTCATCCATGAGCCAGAAGTGTGCCCTGTGGGCCAGAAAGGCCAATGGTATCTTGGGGGGCATTAAAAAGAGAGTGCTGTACCCTGGTGAGGCTGCATCTGGAATATGTGTCCAGTTCTTGGCTCCTTAGTTCAAGGAATGACAGGTGTCTGAACTGTACAATATACTGTACATCTCTGCCACTGATGAATGAGTTAAGACAGTTTTTTTATAAATGCAGTTTATTTTGGATACATACTAGAAATAACCATAAGAAAAGATTATCAGTGGAGGCACTGCAACTTTCTGTGACTTTGCAAGAAAGTAAATGCCAGAAGTACCACTGGGGAATGTGACCAATTCTGAACAGTGGCAGCAAAATGTTTCCGCATCCTGTAACAGGCAGTGCCTTGAGAAGAGTTAAAAAATCAATGCATGACTTTGCTGCGATTCAAAGAAGTAAAATAACATCATAGAAATGCTACTTTTTCAAAGTTTCAACATGCAGAGATTTTACTGTCGACCTCCTGCCTGTTTCAAGGAATGTGTCCCAGTTGATCATTTTGCAGGTGTAGCTGCAGAATGTGCACATCAACCGCAGAGGGCGCTGCAGCACTTCTCAATTAGTTCCTATTTGGTATCCTTAGTGCTTATTTGGAAGAAAATCTTGATTTCTTATTTAGGAATTCACTTCTATAAAATGTATAAAATTAAGTTGTCTTTACACATGTGATGTTCTGTGAAGCAGCTGCTTGAGAGAGGGCAAATGCTTAGTCTTTTCAATCGCCTTCAGCTAGGAAGGAGAAATAGGAGCACCTGTACTTTGCCACGATGCTGCTCTTTGCTTTTGACATTGTGTAGGCCATAAAATGGACTGCAGAATCAGCACAGCAAGTGCCTCAGTGCGTCAGTGTGCTGTCACAGTCTGTTTGATACAGAGAAGTAGCAAGGGAATATATGCTGTTTTACTACATAATCTCACTCTGATGAACACAGTCATAGCATGTTAATTAGCTGAAGAGTAAGTAAAGTAGTTCTGAATGTTTTTTTAAAACTGAAATCTTGTGGCTGCTGATTTCCAGACACAGATCCAGAGATGATATAAAATATCAGACATAGAACTGAATAATATTTGCAGCATTTCTATGCAGTATCATTGTTGAATTTTGGACATGCTTACACTGGCAAGGGAATTGGAACAGAACTTCCCATTTCACTTGAGAATCCTTCTAAGCTGTGTTGATTTCTAAGTAAACATTCTTTAAATTGGAAAGCCTCACTACAGGTCCCACATGTGTGTCTTTTTCCCAGAAGAATACTTCCACCTTCAGATTGCTAAGTAGCACCTGTAACTACTGAGGTAGTTGCTATGTAGTGAGCAAGGCAAGTTTAACTGAGTTCTACCCTGGACCTAGGAGTTGGTTGCTAATGCATTCTGTGCAAAACTTACTTGAGTAAGAAGCTGCTAGGTGTGCTGTCTGTCAGCTCCTTCAAGAAGGCCCAATTAGTAAATGTTCAGGGAGCAAATCATAATTAGGACTGAAGTGTCCCTGAAGCTGTGAAGATAAACTCTAGCTTTTTGCTTGTCATGTGTTGAATAACAATGTGTTGAATTTGTATTTATGAAATCAATACTGATTAGAAGTAATTGTAATTTTCTGTTAAATATCTAAGTAAGTGCTTCTATGTACAGAAGCAAACATTATTCTGCAAATTTTAGATGTACGTTGTGCAGAGAGGAATAGACGTTTGTCAAAACCTCCTTAAAACATGGCATTGCCTTTGTTGTTGTCTGTTATGGGGTTATCATAGAGTCATTACTGTTGGTCTGGCCCTGGTTCTTCTTCCATAGGGCCCGGTTCTTTTCTCTGCTTCAGGTTATATTCTAAAGTCAAACAGTATTCCTCAGGTGGTCATAGAAGTTAAATTATTGCCAGTAGTCAGAGATGCTTTTCTATGAGGTGATATTATTAGGAAGCTGAGAGACCATCATTGTTCTGCAGGGGGCTGATGGGAAATGCATGTGGTGCTTTGCAGAGAATAATAATAAGTTTTAGAGATCTGATGCTGGTTTTCGTTCCTACTGAAGTCAGTGGAAGTTTTACTACTGGCTTCAGCAAACGTAAGAATAGGTCCTCTGTCGCTTCATCAGCACTTGTCCACATAAGCCAGGTTATACACTGAGAAACAAACTGATTTGATTCCTGACTTGAAGTATTGCTGTGGTTAAGGCCAAGCACCTGCAGAAGTATGAATTCTGTATTTTGCATCCTCTGAGTTCAGAAGATCACTGTAAGTTACAGAAAAATGCCCAATAGGTGCATGTAACTTAACTGCTGTGACAAGAAGATTGGTATAGGCCAATGAAATTTCAAGATGGGAGAAAATCTTTTATCAGCAGGTAATTGGAGTGCTAAACCTATGTTGTAAGCAAAGCTCTTGTTCAAGTTATGTTATAGCAACCTAGTGTGGGTTTCTGTTATGAAAAATGCAGGGCATTGATGTTGATAGCTTGTCACGTAATGGGTTACAATGTCTTTGATTTCTGTTGCTGAAGATAGTGGCATTTGTCTGTTTTTTGGAATCTGTGTGATCAATTAAAAACTGCGTTTTGCAGTGGACACCACTGTAAAAACACAATTAGTGTTTTCTAGGTTCTGTTTCTGTACTTTATTAGATTTTCCATTGGTGTTGAAAAGTTGTTTCTTATCTTTCAGCGCCATCAGAGAGCTGTGTTTTTTTGCTATTATGAAGGAAAGCAGAATTTTCTGGCAAATGGGGTGTTGGCACTTTGCATCTTATAACTCCATTTTGTCAGCCTGTGTACTTTGTCCTGGTGCTCAGAGCTTGTCTTTTTCCTACAAGTCTATGAGGTCAAGCAGCTGTAGAACTCACAGGTTGTGTGGTGTGATAATTGCTAGGGTGAAATGAAAGGCAATGGTGAGCCTTGCTAGAATGTTACAGCCGTGATGCAAAGCTCAAGTGGTCGTGTTCAGCTTCTGCTCCTATGCTTTTGTTTGCTGTTACGTGAAGAAATCCAAGTGTCTGGCTGGAATGATGTCTCGCCTTTAAGTCTAACTGCATAATCGTGTGTTTCTGAGCTATTCTCATCAGCTGAACCTGTGGTTCATGTTGAAGATGACCAAACTGGTTGTGCTGAGCCACACGGATCCCGATGGCTGTATTGCTGAAACAGTGACAAAGAGGGCTGTTGGAGATACCTCTGCTCTGCCTTTTCCCAAGTTTGAAGAATCACTTGTTATCTTTCTCCTTCCTGTGCTCCTTATGTTCTTCTGGAGTGCTGATGGTTGGGGGAAGGAAGGATGGTTTTATTCAATGTTGGAAATCTTTGGTATTTTGTTTCTGTTAATGTTAGATTAAGAGACAGTTAAAATTGTAAACATGGAGCAACATTTTATTAGCGCAGTTCACTTTGCAGATCTGTAACCTTTGCTACGTTTCTGCAAATTGATAAGAGCAAACATTTTTTAATA